ATTTTTTTTACGTCGACATGTTTTCTTTAATTATTGTGGCAAGAAAATCTACACTCATTTCGTGCCATATAGCGCGGTCATATAATGCTGTTTATTTTTGTAAATAACATGTACATTTTTAGTTCTACTTGAGTAAGTTAATGAAAAAGTTCGTCTCATTAGTTTTTCTAGACCTTGTTTTAAGTAAGTCTTTGTTTACTTATTTGGATTGAGGCCAAGAAAATTTGCGTACTCTCGCATCATGTCATTATTTTTTACTTCCAAGAGTTTTTTTTTTTTTTACTTTGATTGATACCGATTTCTCACGTTTGCTAATTGTCTAAAGTAGATAAAATGCTGGGCTTACGCTTTCGCAGATTTTTTATGTTCAAATTGAAAAATAAGTTTTTTATTTATGTAGATACACATATATTTTTATCACTTACATATTTATTTACTTAGACGCTTGCGCGTTCTTATGATATGTCGTAATTTTACAAAGAAATTAATATATTCGTAAGTAACCACCGGTTCGCAAAGCAGTTTCTGTTGAGAATAAACTGGCAGTTGCTCTTTTTCAAAAAGGTCAGTTTACAATATAACGGTACAGTAAGTTCATTGACTAGTTTGTTCTTTACAAACTTTAGTTTTTTGAAAAAACATTTCCCTTACTGTAGGATAGCATTATCCTGTGTTGTAAGAGCTTTTTACAAACATACATTTCACTTGGACAAACATCCAGATCCGAAACAATTATCTGTGGTCTCACAGATACTTGTCATGTGCGGGAATCGAACCCAAGACCCCGGCACCAAAGCCATTACCTTGGCAATAGCGCCACGGAGGCATCAAACAACAATTTCTATATGTTAATAATTTGTGTAATAGACGTCAGTGGCGGTTCAGCTTTAGTACTGCGGTAGGGCCACGCAACAGCTTCGGCAGTTGCATGAATGGGTAGGTCCATCAGGGTAAGTCACGACCTCACAGAAAACCGGCGTGAAGTAGAATTGTGATACTTCTGCGTTTCGTATGGCGAGTGAGGTAGCCGGGGCCCATTTTATTAAAAGGTGGCAACACATCTACAAACCTACGGATGTTGCAAATGTCCATGGCCGGCGGTTGTCACTTAACATCAAGTGAACCGCCAGCTCGCTTGCGACTATGAGATCACCTCGCTTGAGATCAAGAATTGATGCTGACCAATCCATAGTCTGATTGCCAGCTTCGTCGATGAACTGAAGAGTGATTCACGCAGTATGTCACGGGGCATTATCGTTCGCCTGGATGCCTATAGACCCGCTTATTTTACTTGTCACCGCCACTCTGCACTTGTCAGTGAACAGGGCTGATTGTCATTTGGTACTCCGAATAATGTGTTCAGGAGTAAATGCAAGGTGCACTTGTCGATGACTCTCGGTCACCAATCTCTGGCAGGTTTTCTTGCAGTGGAGGTCAGCTTCTCTTAAGCTTCTTGTCACTGTCCACCGTTTTAGAAAGCTAGCAGACGCAGCTACGACCGCCTCACGTGAATGCCTGTACCATGTGGAAAGAAAGGCCGTGAATATGACGTATTATGGCGGTTTATAAGACTAAATTAACATACACGTTTACTAAACGTTTAGTGAACCCTAAAGCTGCTTACATATAAAGTCATTGGGCAGAACAGCTAGCCAGCAGGGAAGAGCTGCACTATCACTGACTTGCCGAGGTTTCGGGAGCTTGATGTGTGCTGGGAAAGTTAACAAGCGATCATCCCAACTCGCGGAAGAATTTCACTGCTATAATAACGACGAGCGATGGAGTATGAAATGTGCAGCGAGAGACAAGACGCAATGAAAATTTAAATTGCGTTCTTCTTGGCAGAAAACTTAAGGGCTAGTTGGACAGCGTCAGGAAATTGCAGGCAACACGTATCTTGTGGTACGTAGAATACATCAGATCATGATAGGGCGCAGCACAGCCACTTAATGCGCGTAGCTGAAGGCGGCTATACTGACTAACTGGACCTAACAAAATCCATCAACGTGCCAACATTGCAAGCTATATTGGGCGCCATGCGGAGAGTTTGAACGTGGCTCCCAAACACCTCATTTAGGATTGACGAAATGACGGCATTATGGTTAAGGAAAATCGATTAGACAAGAAGGCTCAGATGGTTTGAGTGAGTCTGTCTGGCACGTTAAGTGCGTGCACCTTGCAAAGCAAGCCGTTGTGGTAGACATTGTCAAATGCTTTTGTGACATAGAAGAAGAGAGTGCCCATGTTGAAGGTTTGAGGTGGTTATGCAGGTCAGGATATATCAGGCGATATAGCTGGTTGGGACAGGAGTCATTTGGTCGGAAGTCTAATTGTTCGAAGGTAACGGGCCGTTGAAATACACGTGTTCCTTGAGCCTTTTAAGAATGATGCGTTCCTAAAGCTTCCAGGCTCGGCTAGGCAGTTTGGGAAATTTTCAAAATATTAAAAAAAAAAACTTAAAAATAAGGTTTCTAAAAAATATAATTTTGTGTACATGACTTGTCATTTTTGAAAAAAAAAATATTTTTATACATTTTATCGGGGTTAGTTGATTAAGTTTCTCGCTACTGTAGTATTTAAAAAAAACATAATTTTTGCTTAGACGGTTTATGTTAGACGGTAGTGTCAAGGTTAGTGGGCGCAATTTAAAGGTTATGAGGACTAACTGTAAATAAAGTTAAAAAAAGTTTGTTTGGAATCAATCTCGCAGCATCTACTATTCTGTTTGTATATTCAGTAAAAATACTCATTCCACTTAATGTGTGATTTAATTTCAAATATTAAGTAACGTATTTTTAGAGATTTCATTTTTAGAAAATGTCCTTTTATCTTTTATGAAAAACACAAGTTCATATTTTCTTATTATTACGTCGGTAACACCGAAAAATACATATATAAAGAAAATAGAAAATGATCTGTTAAAATGAGAATGGATTAAAAAGGAAAAATATATTATCAAGAATACTTTCAAGGACTTCGCGCAAGTTTCCTTTATGGTCCCATGCCGCAAAAGGATTAAGTGCCCTAACATTAGACACATAAGTCTTCGCAGTGGACTTTTATAGCTATACAGCGAATAAATATCATGAAATAACCATAATGTATGGTTATTAGAATCTACCACTGTTGATCAGCAATTAAAAGATAAATCAGCCGTTAAATCTTCAATTTTTTTTTCACTTTTGGTCTTTGTCAGAAATTTATTTGTCTCCCTTCGCATGTAAACTCTTAACAGTGCTCTGCTGACTGTCTTAATTATTTATTCACTTTATCTTGTAGCGGGGCTCCCTACACCGTATCTGCCGGTTCACATTCTTCACTCATTTAGTCATCTAGTTCAGCGAACGTCTTTAGTTGATATCCTACTGTTAAATCGTGCTACTAAAGATAAATAATGAAAAGGCGTACACGAATAGTCGGGTGAGCTAATGTTCAAGTTCTTTATTCGACGTACTTTCTTATTGTCTCTGGATACTTGGAAATAAAGCATTTAAATTCTAATTTCGTGATAAGTAATACATAAATAAATAGCTCGTACTCAAAAGGTGGTAGAAATGTGCAATACAATACGAACCCTTTTGAGTGACCTACCCATTTGAACGACCTAGGATGTATTTTAGTACCTATGTATGGTAGGTAGAATTAGGAAAGGTGGCAAAATTGCTTACATGGTCCTCGATTTATAGCATTAATAAAGTCAATGGTCACCGAATTGCACTGCTAGCAAGCGGTCGATATTCCCCGTTTTCAAGATAGTGATTTTTGTGCCAGGTATTGAATAACCAAAGAAATGTGAAATATACGAAGGTGTGGAAAATCGTAATGACATGTGTGATAATTTGATTAATAAATTGCTGTTAATTTCGTAATAACTAAAAAATACTGGCGCAGTGGGTAGGCCGTCATCATATGAGATTGATTCAAAACCACAATCGGATATTATGTGTACTGTTATAAGTGTTTACGAGTCGTATATTTCTATTTATTTACTCATACTGCGATATCGACGCATAAATTACATTATATTTACAGGTAAACCTATTTAAAAAACAGCATCTAATGTTTAAAATGTATTATTTAAAAAAATATATAAATTTAGTTGACGAGCTAACACTAGCTCACGGTACCTACGAAAACTTAAACATTTCTCACAATAAACTACTACACGTGCCGACGCATGTTTGTTGGTATCACTGCTTTATCAGTCAAAACGTTAACATTCAATACATTTATGTCTAATGTTTGATTAAATGCCAATATGATTGTATTGTTTAAGATTTTTTGGACAGCAATAACACATTTTTATTTTTGTAAAAATAATGTAAAAAATCATAGTACTATTCATATCAATGAAACAACTTATTGCAGAATTATTATGGGGGGAATTTTTATTATTATTACGGTTTGTTCATTATAGATAATAAAGAGGCATTTTTTTCTACGTGAAATACCTTTTACCCATACGATGTAACGCTGCTACTACGGAGCACAGAACAATACTTGTACATCTTCCAATTGCATTTGTATCTCGCATGATTTCATTGTATCCATTAAGTCATCGGTAAGCTATAGTACTCATAATATTATTGACCACGCAACAGTGTTCGCTGTTGCACGAATGGGCAGTTCCATCTGGTGAAGTACCACGACCTCACAGACCAGCGTGAGGTGGAAGTGTTATTATACTTCTGCGTTTCGCCTGGTGAGTGAGATAACCGAAGCCTACCTTCTAAAAAGGTGGCAATGCATATATACAAACCTACTGGTGTTACAATGCAAATGTCCATGGGCGATGGTTATCAATTACCATCAGGTGAATCGCCAGTTCGCTTGCCACCTCATCACATAAAAAAAAAGGCTTCCGTGTCGAAAAAAAAGTGTTACGGGCTGTTTACGGTTTACGTTTGTTACGTTTCGGTTAATGTTGTGTATTTTTTCTGTAGGATCAAAGGAGTCTGAATAGATGAACTCTATGGCTCCGAAGTCCTGGGGGTGACAAGATGAAGCCGGCTGGTCTGATGATATTCTGCTCTTTGCTGACGAGGACGCTATGTGTTATAGCACCACAAATACCAGGTAATACATGACCTCACCACGCTTAAGTGGCCCGCCACTTCCACTCTAATCAACAATTTACCACTTTATTATTATTATTTTTTCTGTGCGGGACTATTATAAGTTTTATCCATTACAGTTACGGAAATTATCTCATTGGGCTGTAATTTAACAGGGAATGATATAGGTGAAAATGGATAACATTATCGAAGTCTGGCTATCTAGTCTGAGCGACAAATGTGGAGTGCTGGAAACACTATGGCTTATTTTTAATTGCATAATCATTGTTTCTAAATATTTTATCCCTCCTGACTTTGCCGTGATAGGATAATGTTCGAGAGCTTTAAATTCAATTTTTTTATGATTCTGATGTTAAGTGAATACCGCCGCCCATGGACACATGCCACATCCGAGGGTTACAGATGCGTTGACTACCTATTGAAAATTGGACTCCGGCTACCTCACTCACCAGTCGAAACGCGAAAGTATTTGTCATACTTCCCCTTTACGCTGGTCTTCTGTGAGGTCGCGGTACTTACCGGACGGGCCTGCTCGTTTGTGCAACAGCAGAGGCTGCTGCGTGGCCCTACCACCGTAGAATATACCCAAAGAGGTGTAAAATCTACCAATCCGTAGTGTATTCGTGAGGTGAATGCCTTAATGTTCTCTATACAGAGGACTGAGCCTAAAAATAGTGCAAACACAGACCATTATTTTACTTTAATATCTACTTTAGTATTTTACACCATGCTATTTTCTTGCTGTTTTCCTCATAATACCGATATTACTATTATTTGTATAATAATTTCAGTGGAAAGCACATTAATAAACGGTGACGTAAAAATTATTAAATGTTAGCGAATTATCCAAAGAAAATTATACGGCACATCGCAACTAAGTCAGATAATATTTACTTCTCGTACGATTTCTTCGTTTATTATTTGATTGCTTTGAATTTGATATGATTTTTATAAAATTTCAGAAAATGAGAATTATTTAATTTTAGTGTAAGGTATAAACGTAATTTGAGATATTTTATATCAAAGTACGGTAATGTAATAAACATTTATTTGAAATTTGATGAGTCTCTTGTCAAAATCAAATTCTATTCCTATTTAATTTCATACAGACCGTTTTATAATGAGGTTTCTTTGTTACGAATAACACCAGGAGATTAATAAATTTCTTTATACTGTTTATGATTAATTTTATTCATATAACAATAGGGTGGTCCGATTCAAAGGAAAATCTTTTTTAAACTAAAATTGAGCTTTGACGTAATTACAATCCCCAATATCATCTTTTGTTTCATGTCAAACTTAAAAATAATATCACTTGTGTTTGATTGCATCAGCGTTATGAAAAGGGTGGTAAGCGTTGATATGAACTTGTTTGTTCTATGATTATGTCATATTGTATCTAATGTAGTAGTCTGAAACCCCGGATTAAGTGACCATCACAATGAACGAATGTCCTTAGCTTTAATTGTAAATAACTGGGATTATGATAAAAAATAGTTGCGAACCGAGTTTCTTGTTTTCTGGTGACGTCACATTTATATTAAAATCTTTATTCTATAAAAAATGACACGCACACGACGGTAAATGCTTTCACATAAACGCATCGGAACATACAAACAATGAAAGAGTAACTAATGCAGGACAATCACTTTTTGTAGTAAAGGAGTAGTAATTTTTTATTTTTATATTTTTTCATAAAAATAGCCGGTGGTTCACCTGATGATAAGTGATTGCCACCGCCCATTGACATCTGCAACAACTGAAAGGTAGTGGATGCGTTGACATCCTTTTAACAAGCGGGCTCTGGCTTCATCATTCTCCAGAAAAAACGCCAAAGTATAATATTTACACTTCACGCGGGTCTTTTAGAAGGCCATGGTACTACCCAAAATGAGCCAGCCCATTCATCCAACAATAAATCATTAAGCAAGAGGTAAGTATGAAAAAAGTTGTACAATGGGCGATCTAATTACCCGACTGTCGAAGGAGAAGAGTAATTTCCTCCATGTCACTTTTAGTTGGACAAAACATAATATTAAGACTATTTCAGGGCTATGCATAAATCCTTATAAACACAGGCATAACTATAACAACGTAATTTAATTTACGCAGTTTAATTTACCTATTTAAATATTTTTCTTAATAGAAACTAAGGCTGATACAGAACTATACCAAACATGAGAAAACCTTTAGTTTTTAAAATAGATTATAGGGCAAGCAACTAGCATTACAACTTGCGAATTAAATGATATTTTCATAATATTTCTATTAATTTATACATAGTCTCAACTAAATACTGGGGTATTGGCCCAGTTGAGACCTCTTATAAAAGATAAAAATATTCTATATCATTTTCCAATCTATATATATATATATATACATACATATACATACATATAAGAGATTTCCCCCGATAATTGATTCATCACGATATCTCTGGAAATATAGCCATTCCTTTCGCCGAGTAGAGGTCAGCTAAGATGGATTTTACGAAATTTCACAAAACAGCCAGATCAGCTAGTAGGTTATTTATTTAACACGAACACCGTAATCAAACATATTTTTTACGAAGAGTTAGATCTGTGTTCACTATGCTTCATCGAAATAATTATCAACCATCACCCTCAAGATTTCCTTAGAAAAACTTAATCCCTTTTGTACTGACAATACAGTCATTATTAATTTATTTACATAATTGTTAACAGATTTCCAAACTGGTGACAAAAAGATTATCAAAGGTCCGTTCTGGCACGAAGTGTTTACGGAAGTATACGAAGATCCCGAGGAAGAGGTTTCTACGACAACTTCGGAGCCGCTTCCATTTTTCGAAGATGACCCTTCAACTAACAACGTTACAGCGCAGCTGGGGAGCACAGTACATCTTCATTGCAGAGTACACGACTTGGGAGATAAGACAGTAAGTACTCCTCTCGTTTTATTTAGTGAAATCTTTGACATCGTTCAAAATTTTAGGTGTCAAGTTTTAGTTTAATTTTTGTCAAGTTGCCAATTAGATCCGATCATTTAGCAAATCTCAAGTAATATCATAGATCGAAAAGTGTGCTTGTTAGTCCTTACTTTACGTTGCAACTGAACAATGGTATGATTTTTAAGCGGAGGTAGTTAGGAGGCTGGAGAGTGCATAGGCTACTTTTTGCCGCGGTAAAACATTTCATTCCCGTAGGAAGATGCAATATGAGGCGTTTTTGAATCACTCCATACTAAAAGTAACAATGTGTTGGTCTTTGACTTCTCTTTAACTTCTTAAAGGATCTATGGATTGATGTAAATATAAAGTTGGAAATATTAATAAAATATTTTCATAATTAGAAATAGGAAAAGCTTAAAAAAACGACTAAAAACAATCTCAGTGAGTGCACAGTGGCTTGCAGTTATTTATATGTAAAAAAGCGAGGGTAGAGCATCGCTGGTGGGGGATGTTTCTTAAAATAAATACAATTACTGATAGAAAATTATTCGTATCCATACAGATGCACCAGAGATGCATGATAAACAACTCATTATTAATTCCCGTTTGACCACGCTGGGAAGCGCCGGGAAACAGCTAGTAGTAATACACTCTCAAACGGCAAAGTACTCGGACAATTCGATTAGTTTAATTGCGATCATGGTGTAGGAATATAACATGTGTCAAATTATTACTTGATGTGAAACTAATAGATTTCTGTATCTAAGGAACCGATAATCGAAAATTATCGGTATAAAATCCTTAACATAAATCCATACTAATATTATAAATGCGAAAGTAACTCTGTCTGTTTGTCTCGCTTTCACTCCAAAACTACTGAACTGATTTGGTACATATATAGTCTAGAGCCTCAGAAAGTACATTTTTAATGGCTATTTTTAATTGGAAAAAAGTGTTGTAAATGCTAGTCACACATAATTTAAGAAGTTCCTACTGTGCGAAAAGAACGGATTTGGAAATTATTGGATTTACTTATCTCACCTCTATCTTTTTGTTTATTTTAAATTTGCAATCTTGCGTAGCTGAAATTATTTAGATTCCGTTCAGATTTACTTAAACTCCTTTTCTGTTTTCCTTTAGATATCTTGGGTTCGACGTCGGGGCGAAGAAATCCACCTCCTATCGTTCGGCCGCCACACTTACTCGGCCGATTCTAGATACTCGCTTGCCTTCGAGCAGCCAAATAACTGGCGACTGTTAATACAGTACGCGAGTGAGCGAGACGAGGGGTACTACGAGTGCCAAGTTTCGACACATCCGCCGTTGGTTCGACGTGTACATCTATCAGTTGTGGGTAAGTGCTGCAGATTTTTAAGGGTACCCTACCCAAAGGATAATACGGGACCTTACTAAGACTTCGCTGTCTGTCTATCTGCGGGTCTTTCACCATGCCGTATCTCATGGATCGTGATAGTTAGACTGTTAAAATTTTCACAGATGATTTATTTCTGTTGCCGCTATAACAACAGATAGTAAAAAACAGAGTAAGAAAATATTTAAATGAGGCTCCTATACAACAGGATATTATTATTATTATTATTATTATTATACCCTTCGAGCGCGAGTCCGACTCGCACTTGGTCGGTTTTTTTATTCATATGTTGTTTATATTTTATCATAAGCTTAACACGTGCAATTTTTGTCACACACAATAATAGTTTTAATATATAATCTATCATCGCTATTTTTATAGTACAGGTTTTAGTTAACACACGGTTGTTGAAGAGAAAACGTCTAAAGGCACATTGACCATTTTTTGATGGGGAAGTGTTCATAGGTTCGATTCAAAGGACTTAAAATTTTAATGTGATTTCGTTTTCTAATATTTGATTTCTGTAAAATGATACATTTTTCTTGTAACAATGTTTTAATTGTTTGATATTATTGTTGTCGCGTTTGAAATTAAAATTCTATAAATTTTAAATTTTACAAACAATGTACGATAATTGTTCAAAATCATTGCTTGTCAGTTTAATATTATCTTACATTTTTAATATATTACATATTTAATATTATTGTCAGAAATGAAATAGGGCTTTTGAATTGTAAATTAAAACTTTGTTATTTTAATTATTCATACTATAAGATAAAACAGTTTTTTCCAGTTTTTTAGTTTTCACTGACCATTATTTAAGTAAAAAAATTAAAGAAAATATTTTGTACACTCACTATGTGGAGATATAAATTTGTTGACATAAAAAAAATAAATAAAAGATGTTCCGCTGCCCTAATCATAATAAGATAGGGATTAAACTGTTGCTGCAAGGTTGTTTATAAATAATTTGACAAGGGTTACTCTTTGTTCTCCTAAAATATTTGTTCAAAAAGAGGCCTCAACTTAAAGTCTTGGGCTTTTGTGGCATAAAAATTACGTAAACCGACACTTTGGATGTAGATAATGAAGCAACTGTGTATGCTTGTACGTATGTAAATAAAATTATATTGAGCTTTTGCAGATTCCGACTCTGCTTCAATAAAACGTAGGGAAATATTAACATTCTGCACAAAATTTTAAGTTATTGGAATTGGTAACGCAGTGAAACAATTTTAAATAGTTTATTACAGTTCATACTCATTAAATACGTTTATGATTTTTCTTCAAACTTATTAACTCATTTAGTATCTGTGAAACTAAACTTTAGTATGAATACGAGTTAAAATGAATGAAAAAAAAATTAATGCATATTTTTAGATGTAGGCAAATTAAATAGCCGATTTCATGGCATAGTTTCAATAAATTTCTTGACGTTTTCACCACCCATAGTAATAGGACAGATTGCGTTGTTTACGTCATAATATTATGCAGGCTAACCCGAGCTACTGCCGTCTCTTTTTAAACGGTTTTATTTAGCTCGACCCGTACGGAATTTGTTTGTTTGGGTCAAAATTAGAAATTTAAGCACCTTGCCGTTGTCAGATTGATCTGAAATTTGGTACACACATTTAATTTAGATGACAATACAATATTAACAAAAAAAATTAACAAAAAAAAAAAACATAAAATAAAACCGTTTAACTTAAAAGTTTTTAAACAGTTTTATTACATTATTCAAGTTATTGTCCTTTTGGCACATTTGGAAATGACCATGAGAGTGAAACGTTAACGATGCGCGCGCACATCACCAGCCAAAGAGCAAGATGATGAAGTTGGCTGCAAAGCGATTCTCGAACTTTTGATCATTTTGTAATTTACATATAATTATTAAAACCATTATCAATCGCATTTAGTGTTATTTTTAAAACAGAGAGCACTGGTACAGGGGATAAAAATTATATATTTATAAAAAAAATTGTTACGCTTAAGAAGTATAATTACTTACGTGCGTGCACAAATAACTTTTTTTTTCACTTATTTTTGTCCACATAAATCACTCCTTAAAGTAAATTAAAGTAAAGTAACAGCCTATAAATGTCCCACTGCTGGGCAAAGGCCTCCTCTGTACAGTGGGTTATAAGGACATAGTCCACTACGCGGCCCCACTGCGGATTGGCGGACTTCACATATCTTCAAAATATTTTTTTTTGTTATTACTTAGAAAATATACAGGTTTCCTCACGATGTTTTCCTTCACCGCTTATCACGTGATAAGTCAGCGCTTAAAATTTACAATTTCATTCGTGCCAACGAGGATCGAACTCAGATAGCTCGAGTATATACAATAAAAACGAGCGCCCGGACAATGAGCTATCACGGCTCTATAAAGAGGATGAGGCCACTCCATGAAACTCTTTATTTTTATTATTATTATTACTGTATAATTAGATATCATTGTAACGCAGACAATTTTCACGGTTTTAATAATAAAAAAAAATCTCATAAGAGAATATCGTATTTTTATTGGCAAAATCAGGCATGAACTGCCTAATAAAAACCGAGTTACGTCGTAAATCTTCCTTAGCGAGGGTACCAAGCGTATAAAATTTCGCAAGATGTTGATAAGGTTTTCAAGGTATCTTTAACAAACCGAGTAAATAAGAATCTTTATACATACAAGAGCATAAGATATGAAATATATACTGCACCATATTAAAAATTTCAAAAACATGTTTTCATATTTTAATATTTTTATTGTATGTGTTTGTTATCTTAAGAGTATAGTAACTAATTATGAAAATTATTCATCATTTATTGCAACTGTAGTTGAATTAATTTTTATTATTATTCTTTATTAAATCCAATATTTACAACATCAAATCTAACTGAATTACATCTTATCCTAATAAACCTAGTCCACGTGGCATTGTGCCTATTCATTATTTATTGCTAGCTGCACTTGAATTTATTTTTATTATTATTTTTATTATATCAAATATTTACAACATAAAATCGAACTAAATTACATAATATCCTAATAAATCTAGTCCACGTGTTAGGGTGCCAACAACGCTAGCTGCATTCCCTTGCTGAATAGTTATGTTATTTTTAAGCGAGAAGAAAACCAGCCCTCTTGTCACCAGCCGTGGCGATAAGTCTAGGGCATAAACCTTTAAATTCACTTTCGATTCCGATATACGGGGATCCCACGGACCTACAATTTCTACAGCAAAATAAACCATTTTAGTTCAAACAACATTCGTTTCGGCCGAAACATAGCATCTTATTTAGTTGTCACCAAATCTGTATAAATTTTGCAATATATTTTATGTACAGCTGTAAAAGAGAAAATGAGTAAAGTATTTATAGCTGAACCGTAACCAGAACTGATAGTTACGTTTTATAGTTTGTGACATGTATGTTTCAATGTATGGTCGTAACTTGCAATATTTAACAAGTAGTTGATTGAGAATTTATTTCACGTCATATACATATTGTAAATTATATGGAATTTGTAGCCCTCCGTTTTTACCTGATCATAGCATGTTTTAAAAGTAACAAGGGCGTACTTACGCCTTAAGTTACATCGCTTACCATCTAAAATTAGATTCCTACTAACCATTAAATTGGGTGTCAATCAAGCTACAGATAGTTTTTAATCAAAACAAGATGTGTAATAAAACTAAGTACGCATGACATTAGCTTGTAATGTCATGCGTCATTATAACGACTTTTGTAGTTAGTATTTTTTTAAGGTGAAAAGTTGCCAAACGAGCAGGCGCATTACCTGATGTTAAATACCGCCGCCCATGGACATTTGCTACACCCGAGGGTTGCAGGATCGTTGACAACCAAAACAGGGCTCCGGCTACCACACGCACCAGACAAAACGCGAAAGTATTATACTTCCACTTGACACCGGTCTTCTGTGTGGTCGTGGTACTTACCCGGACGAGCCTGCCCATTCGTGCAACAGCCGAGGCTGCTGCGTGGCCCTAACACCAAAGTACGTTCGTAAAGTACGTTCTATGTACGTAGTTATGTTGATATTAAGCTCAAAATCGCTATTATAAATACAATTCAACATCTGCCTAAACGAGATAAGTTTATTATATTTATTGCGAAACATAAAATCTGTTTGCTGCAAAATATTTCAATTTCGTATCATTTCCTTTTGTTCGCACACAACTAAAACTCTCTGTAATTGTTTAAACTTCTAATGAAGACTATTTAACACCAAGGCGGTTCGAGGACAAAATTCCCGGAAGAGTTTACTCGGGGTCTTGTTTTCGCTGAATTCACTAATTGTTTAAATACATAGCTAAATCTTGCTCAACATATAAAAGTGAAAGCTTGTTAAAGTGTTTAATGATAAACTGTGAATAATATATCTAGTACAAAATAGACACGTTATATAAAAAGTTAAATAAATAGTTAAGTCCGCCAATCCGCAGTGGGGCCGCGTGTTGGACAATGCCCTCATACCCTCTGTATAGACGAGGCCTTTGCCCAGCAGTGGGACATGTATAGGCTGTAACTTTGACTTTTAGACACAGTTAATCAAAATAATTTATTATCAGCTTTTCCTTAAAATATGAAACGATACGTCATTAAAGACTCATTACTATGACCTAAAATTAGATAACACAACGGTTAATTTACGCTAAAAGAAACTAATGATGCACACAATAAGCACGTCGATATCAAATTTCGTAGTTTTCAATAATTTATAAACATATTCATTTTAAAGGGATATATTAGTGCCTTTTCATTGTACATAGTAAGTTCAATAATGTTTGTTTGCGTTAGGCACTATGATTTACTACTATCAACTTATACTTGTTTTGGCACGTTGTTCAAACAGTGACATTTTTGACATTTACCTATAAAACGTTATCAATTGCATTTAAAGTATTTTTCAGAAACAAAGAGTACTGGCAGTGGGAATAAAATTTTAGTTTATTTTCTTTTGTTACTCT